ATAGTAAATTCAACTCCTCAAACAGTAACTTACAAATACAAATTATACAATTTCATATTTCTTTAACAATTTCACTTTTATCATTCTCATAAACAAATTATTTGAGCCAGCATTTTTACAATCATTATCCAGATTATCACATAATCTTATTCCTTTGAACTGAAGTACATCTGTCCTTTAAATTTGTTCAAATTTTAGGTTTTACAAAAAAATTCTAGTCCCGTAAGATTATAATAACTGAATGTTAATAAATTTTTATGAGCCTTATACATAACCTGTATAATATTATAATCAACCAACTCATAAAATTTTTTAAATTTCAATTGATGAAATAATATATTTGATGGGTGATGTTTTCTGGGAATAATTCTTGCGGCTCTTGGGATTAGTAATGGTTTTACGTGCTTTCCCCCAGACTTCTATACAATAAATCAAATGTGGAACAATTATTGAATTGTAAAATATAAATAATGCTTTATCATTAAATAACTCCTTTGTAATACTGCAATAGATTTAGCTATTTTTGTTCTTAAGTAATTTACTTGAGGTCTCCATGTCAAGGTTTCATCAATGATGACACCCAAAAGCTTTGCTTATTATTCAACAACCACACTACACTACAACTTATTATTCAAAGACCAGGCCATCCTCTGATTTGATGTAAAAACAGAACTCCCTCTCTTCATTCAGTGTCAGTGCAAAAGACTGGGAGCTCACACCAGCTTTCAGGATAATGTAAAATGTTATAGCCACTATTTGTCTTTGCCCCCCCCAGTGGAGGACCCCTGTGTACTGAAACCTTGTGGAAACCGTGGCCGCTGCTGGAGTGACAGGAGAGGAAACTACAACTGTGTCTGCAAAGTCGGTCTCACAGGCAAAGACTGCGACAAAGGTCAGCAACCAACAGCCCACGCTTGGTTCTCGCAAAGATAACCATTAAAAACTGAAGGTTTTCCACTGTTCCCAGATCTGCTGCCTCCGTCTGGTCTCCACGTGCTGCGTGTGGAGGAGAGCGAGGTGGAGCTGCGCTGGGATCAGCCCAAGTCTTCACAGAGCGTGATCAGCATGTTCGCCGTGTCCTACGCTCCTCTGGGCCAAAGCAACCCCAGAACGGACTACCTGGACCGGCAGAGGTCCACCTACGTTTTGCGAGACCTGGAGCCCGGCGTGCTGTACAACATCTCCACCGTCTCCATCAAACTGAAAACCAACAGCAACGACTCAAGCCAGCCCGCCACTGCACTGATTCGCACCAGTGAGCACTTGTTTATTTATTTTTTTTACCTTCCCTGCAGTGTTTCTTCTCCAAGTTACTGCTGTTGGAAAGTGTGTGCAACCATGAGCTTTGCTGCTTGTGAAAATGTAGTAAGTGTGTGTTTCTGTGCTAGGACCTCAGCGAGTGGAACAGCTGCAGGTGGTTAATGTGTCCTCCTCTCAGGTTTGGCTGAGCTGGCTGGTCCAGGCTGCTCATCACGCAGCAGTCAGCAGGGTGCACGTGTCTTTAGTGCCTGCAGACGGGAGTAAGACTCAGACTGCTGCGCTCAACACAAGCACCACACAACACACCTTCAGGTCAGCTTCACAACACGTCCACAAAACACCCTCACTTTCCTTTGTGTCCACTGCATGGTGCTGTTGGACATTAAACAGCTGAGGTGTAGTACACAGTTCACCCAGCAGAGGGCGCTGTTTTACCTGCAGGAAAGAAACTGTTCTTTGTGTTTCACAGCTCCTTACAGGCCGGTCAGATGTACACAGTTCATGTTCTGACTCAAAGTGGAATCAGACCAGATGAGTTTCCCTCCACCAGCCACTCAGCAGGACCGCTGCCTTTCTGGACTAGTAGGTCTCATTATTTTCCAGATTTACAGTTGTATTTGTTACTAAAAACAATCTTATTATTGATAACTTATTAATGTTTATATAATTTTATAGTGTGAATGTTGTTCTAAAGGGATTCAGTTTGCTTGTTTGTTTTTTTTTTTTGTTAATAATGTAGATTTTTATTATATGAACTTATTCTTGGAGGGGAGGGGCAGAAATTTTAAGATGTTTTCTTCTCTCTGCTGCCTTTCATTTCATTTTAATTGTGATTTGGATATATATTTTTCTCTTTCTTCTTTTCATATTTTTTCTTTTACTTTTTACTGTATATATAATTTATTTTGTTTTTAAAGAAACAAGTAAAGTAATTGAATAGAATTGAATTGAATGACAATAAAGCATCACATTTTTATAATTTTTCAGTATGTTTCTCTGCATCTGTCTTTTTCTGCAAATTTTGATCTGTTTCAATGATCCAGCTCTGACTTTTGATACTTCAGCAATTTATACTTTTTTTTAGCTATTTTTAGCTGAACTTCTTAGTTTTGGTTATGGTTCTGCTTTTTAACTTCTTTGTGCTAATTTCAGCTTCTGTTTTGTAAATTTTACATTTTTCTCATTTTTGTAGCTATTATTCTGATCCTTTTATCTGTTCTTCTGCTAATTTAAACATTTTGTGCTTTAAAAAATTTTTTCACTTAATTTAGGCTCTAAGCTTCTTCCAGCTGCTTTCTGCCCATTTAAACAGTTTTTTTGTATATAATTTTAGCTACTCTTTGGCTACTTTCAGCTAATTTGAGCTTTTTTAACCAAGATAACTTTTTTGTGTTAATTTCAGCTTTCATACTCTTCTGTTTGTGCTAATTTCAGCCATTTCAGATACTTTGAAGCTATTTTTACGCTAGTTTCAGATATTTCAGTATTTCAAAACAAATCGCAATTTTTTTTCTCATTTTAAGTTTTTATTTGAGTTTGCCTGTCTGTTGATTTTAACTTGTTTCATCTACTTTTAGCGTCTTTTTGCTCATTTCAGCTACTTTATTAATCTTTTCAAATTTTTGGCCCCTTTTGCTATTTTTCTACAGATTTTTCTCTTGTTTTCCTACTTTCAGCAAGAGTCAAGAAAAATTAACTCCTGTTAACAGTTTTGCTATTAAACCTTTTCATCTTCAGCAGCTTTCAGCATTAAGCATTCACATTGTATTTTCTCAGGAAATATTTTTTTCCAGTTTGTATAATTTACTTTACACAACATTTCACTACTCGTGTAAACTAAGACAATATTTAAGTAACAGTAAAAAAGTCAGTAAATTAGTGTTTGTTGGATTATTTCTTAGTTGTAACAATACTTCTTGATAATAAATCTTATACTGTTGGAAAGTCTGTTATTGTCTCCTTTAAATGGTGCCACATTTGTAAGGAACATGCATTTGTGGGATGAGCAGTAGAGCTGAGTATGAGGGTTACGATAAAGAAAAATGAATCAAATCTTGCCTGTCAAACAGCTCATATTTCTGTTGTTAACTCTTGTTTTGAGCTTCTGGTACTGTTACAACAAAGAAATAATCTACCAAACCCTAATTTCATTACTTTTTGTGCTAAGTCTTGATAAATGGCAGTTCAGCAACCATCTGAGCATATTTTTCTGTCCTCAGGGCCTCACCCCCCACAGAACCTGTCTCTGTCACACGTGACCTCTAACTCTGCGATGATCACCTGGAGCCGCCACCCGAGAAACATCCCAGATGGGTTTGTGATCAACGTGACCCGAGGGCTGAACACCAGGAGTCGCTTCCTGCCCAATGGGAAGTTAGGCTCCTACACGCTCCGTGAACTGGTGCCGGGACAGCAGTACTACGTGGCTCTCATGTCTGTTAAAACCATAGAGCAGGAGCAGATTCACAGTGTGCCACAGCACTTAGAGTTTACTACCTGTGAGTGTCAGAAACACTACCTCACATCTGATTATCTGATTAAAACTTGGATCATATTGATGTTAGAGTGGGTTTCTCCTGTACTATTTTATCACACCCAGTGCCAGTTCAGGTGAGACAAGGGAGGAAAGAGAGGCCCACAGCGACAGGACAGGGGGCTCAGACTGGACGAACACTTTCTCCATCTCAGCCTGAAGACCTGGGAGGAACAACAGGAACAGGAAACTCAGACGACTCGTTCAGGTACACGCAGGAACCTGATGATGTTTAAATCTGCCTTAAAACACCAGCATTAACTCACAGTTGAAGTTCAGCTGCCAGCGTCTGACTCTCTGTGCTGCAGATACACCGAGCTCATTGACAGCAGAGGAAAGATAACATCCAAGTTCATGTATTTGCCTCGGAAAACTATTCGACATCGAACCAGTAAGTTCAAACCATCATTAAATATCCTTTTAATGGAGAATAACCAGAAAACAGTTTGATATAGACCTTTTACGGTGTAACTATGAGGAAGAGGACGTCCACCATCTGTCAGATCTAGGGGTTTATGTATCAGGATATACTTAAATGATCTGAAAACACACACTAAAACAAAGACACTTTGTGTGTAAAATGAAATTCATCCTGCTGTTTCCAAAGGATTTGAGTACAACCAGGTACTGCTGCTTCAATATATTGATTAAACTAAAATAAAGCTGAGTCATGTCTTCTGGACAGTTCGTCTTTGTTGAAACATTTGATTCCTTCTCAGTCTGAAGATATCTCTTGGAGAAGAGATGGGGCATTAAATTTTTTTTTTTAGATTTTTCCACCTGGATTATTGAAAGGCAGCAGGATGTATTGATTAACTTATCAGTATGATCACCTCTATAGAAGCAGGAGTTTTGTTGCTCTGGAGCAAACAGGTTTGTGTAAATCCAAGAGCTTCAAGAAGCAGTTGGTGCTGCCCATCGTCTGGAAAAGATTAAAAATAACTTCTTTAATAATTTGGAGTTCGTCATTCTACAGTGAGACATAATATTCAATTCAATTCAGTTTATTTATATAAATATTGCAAAGTCACAGCAGACGTTGTCTCAGGTCACTGTACAAATAACAATCTAAAGAAACCAGCAGATTGTGTTGAATCACTTCATCACAGTCTCCATCCTGAGTGGCACACTGGTGACAGTGGAGAGGAAAAACTCCCTTTAAACAGGAAGAAACCTCCAGCAGAACCAGAACCAGGATCAGGACAGGCGGCCATCTGCCTCGACCAGCTGGGTTTGTGAGACAGGAAAGAGACACAGAGAGACACAGGAGGACTGGTCCAGGTGTATTTTCCTCTGAAAGAGAGACAAAGCAAACACATTATTGGTAGAATAAAAACAAATAGGTAGAGGAGAGAGACTAAAGACAACAGCAGAGTGAGGAAATGTGCTCAGTTTGTGCTCCAGCAGTCTAAGTCTATAGCAGCAGAAATGAAGAATAAGTCTAACTATATGATTTATCAAAAAGGAAAGTCTTCAGTCTAATCTTAAAAGTAGACAGAGTGTCAGCTTCACGGACAGAAACTGGAAGCTGGTTCCACAAGAGAGGAGCTGATAACTGAAAGCTCTGCCTCCCATTCTACTTTTAGAAACTTGAGGAACCACAAGTAGCTAAAAAAGCAGTGGTGCGTTCACGCCGAACGCGATTTCAGCATCAAAATCGCATCCAACGCTTCAAGTTGGACGCTTGTGCACTTTGAGGTCAGATGCAAGTCAGCTCTTAAAGCGCTTGCATGTCAAGAGTCTCCCCGCCCCTCCCTCCTCTGTCGGGCTCTGTTTAATGTCGGACGAGGAAGTACCTTTGCTTTATTTACAGAGAGCAAGAGCATGTCACGCTCATCAGATAATTAATTCATAATAAATTCACCAGATAATTCAGAGACATTCTGAGTTTGGTGAGTTTCATCACCCAGGAGCTGCGAGAGGGGTTCGCGGCTCGCTTTCTGAACCATTTTTGTCCCGAGTCAAGTCTGATGAGCCGCTGACATGCATTGGTGCGGAAATCTCCTGTCAGGACACCAACGGGAAATCTATCAAATCTGTCGAACGCTCAAATCGTTCAAATCACGCCGCTCTAATTGCGCTTGACGAGCCGCAGCATTTCCCGACGCTGTTTGAAGTGCGTCCACCATAGACTTTGCATGTAAACCTGATGCTCTTGATGCTGAAATAGCGTTCGTTGTGAACGCAGCATTAGAGTAACCTGGTTGGGTAGAAAAGAGCTATATAAGTACAGTCCATTTACCATTTTGCAGTAGATGTAATAGAATTTTGTAGTCAACTATATCAAAAGCTGAGGACAGATCTATATCAGAATCATGGCTGACTCCTGCTATACCAAATTCGTTTCTTTCAGTTGAAAATTATTCATTGTATCGTAGAGACCGTACTGATAGGCTTGGAGGTGGTGTTGCAGTTTATGTTCACAAGAAATACACACATTCTATAATAGAATTGTAAACTGAGTCTGAATCTCTGCAATTAGAAATCAAGCTTACAAATCAGCTTTCAGTAACGGTTGTTGTTACATATAAMCCTCCAAGTGTTAATTCAACTAAATATTTAGCGCAGCTCACTGACATTATAAAAGGCATAAAATCAAAAGAGTTTGTGATTCTTGTGATATCAATATGAATTGGGCTGATAAAACGTCCAGAGGCCTGAAAGCAATGTCTATAAACTTAGGGTTTCAACAGTTAATTAAAGTACCAACAATATTTGGCAAAACATGCAATTCCATTTTGGATCTTATTTTCACATATCAATCCTCCATATATGGCATATCTGGAGTTATAAATACTTCAATCTCGGATCATTCACTTATTTATGTCATTAGAAAAAACCTTAAGAAACCTACAGGTCATGTGCATAATTTCATTAAAAGGATTCCAAAATCAAAGTTACCCATGTTTCATGCTGAGATTGAGAATACTAACTGGAATGAGGGTATTTCTCTGTCAAATCCAAATCGCATTTTGATAATTTTTTATGATAAGTTGGAGACAATACAGGAAAAAAATATACATGTATTTCAACTTGTAAAGTTCCAGTCTGGAAAAATAAAATTCCATGGTTGAATGCCTCTATAATACATC